CGTAAATCGCTACGGGTAATTTGTGATTTTGTGGTTCAACGCTTGCGTCACAGAGACACGTGAACCACCGAACTGTCAGGTTGGCCGTTTTACAAGAGGAGCTTGTCAGATTTTGACAATAATAATATATACATATATATACATAGTATATTTTATATATATATATATATATATATATATATATATAAATTAGTATATTTTTGTGGGCAGTTTTGCACGGATACTCCAATCACTATTCACCCCTGACGGGATGAATGGTAGTATAGAATGGATGCTCTCTGTTTCATATCACAGTTTGTAACTGTGTCGTTACTGTTTACATGCATCATCCATGTATGACAGCTTGCACTTAAGCGATGGACGTAGAAATTTAAAACATGGCCCGATAATCTTCGGAGAAAAAACAATTCTTCAGCAACAACTCACAATCTTCAACTCATGTCGCTGTAGGCCAGTCAAATCAAAATATTTCGGGATGATTTGAGATGCGGTACGTTTAGTGATGGCTGTATCATTGTTAATCTAAATTCCTCTGATTAACGAGTGAACTGTCTAGGACCGAGACCATGGGAACACCTGATTGCTAAGTAGCAATAGACGCGGAAAAGCTTGATGGGAGTTCATCCAAATGTTCTAATTAATCTTAGTATGATATTCTTATTTCAAGACGACAAACGAACAAGCGGATATATTCAATTCAGGTCGTTCATTGGACAGGAGTCTTAGAATGAATTCACAACACACAACACATGCTACGACTCCGTTTGTTGTGGTCGGCTACATCACTGTACAACCTCAGAGTTGCGTTACCGAATCGTTGAAACCAACAGCAACATATTCCGCTCGTTTGTAGTTGACAGTATCCGAGGTCAGTTCTACTAGCTGAATGGCTAAATCCCTGACGGAGTCGAATGCCACACCGCGACACGAGAAAGGTATCCAAAAATGCTCTACTCCTGCAAGTGAAAATCCTTATTGTGATACAAGCTACGTGGTTTGTAATTTCCGAGTTGTGACAGAAATCAAGACAATGTACAATGAAAAAATAATAGCCTTATCTAAAGAGGACTCCGTTTTAGCGAAGTGGATATAACTACAGTCCGAGAATAATAAATAAAATCGATGCAAGTACAATTTCACTACTGTCATCGGTTTATTCGACATTCAACTGCGCAATGTGTGATGCTATTTACACCCGCTTCTTTGCTTATCAAGCTTAACAACAACTGTAAAGCTTCGTAACCGCACCAGTAATATTTTATCATGAGTGCTTGTATCTCACTGAACCTTTTTGGTTCATGGCGTTTTGTTTGCTTTGCGTCTCACAGGTTTACCTTTAACCCAGACCCACGGAAGACCTGTCTGCCAGTGTCTCTTTGTCAACCTGTGTCTCACCTCCTTACAGCTGTTCCCCGCCATCGTTCGTTGCCAACAAAGCCTCGTATCGTCTCTAGCTACGAGAACACGAGCCGAGAAACATCCCGTCGCGCAGCTCTGTTCACTCCGCTGCGCTGCGAGGGCCCGGAGTACGTTCGCATTACACAACACCATTGTGTGTAAAATACAAAACGTTCAACATTCACTGACATCTGATAAGTTCGAAACCTTTTAATATAACTTACTTACAGCGGCACAACTAAGATTTGTGCGTC